GTATCCTGCGCCACTGTATGTGGTCAGCAATCCCCAGTGAGAGGAACCTTTTATTTCTTTTTCCGTATGATAGGTCCAGCTGCAGAGGAGCAAATATATTTTTGCAGTTTTTCTCTGTTCAAACATATTGAAATCAACCTTGTAAGAAAAAATTGCAGGCTTACGCAGTGCCATTGAAGAGACCAAATCTAAGGTCATCCTCCTTCTTTTCATTGTATACATCAAAACACCCTATTATCTCGTCCTGGAAGCTGCTGTGGACCTTGCAGGAGTTGTTCATAATCTTGACCTGTCTCAGTCTGGGGACTCCCAGCAGCATATTCTCATAGTAGATAAAGGACTTGTCTCCACTCTCCATGGACTGGTTGTTGTACCATTTATTCCAGTAGAGGCCATCAAGTAAGGGGCCATGGGTATACTGTTTATAAAAAAAGAGGGAGGATGCAGTTTAATTTGCTTAAAGAAAAAAAGAAAAAACAATTCTAGTTTACAGTTATTTCTCCCTTTGGTGTACATGGAAAAAAATGAAGTGGAGGAATACTCACGGTCCAGAAGTCGGCCATTGTGCTAATGGACTGAAACCTAACTCCACTTTCACTGGCTGTATTCACAAACAGGTCAGTCATGACTTTAGTGTAGTAGTACGTGCTAGAGCTGGTCATACCGTATGTCACTGAAATACAACGTAATTACATTGTTAATTGATCACTATCTGGCTCAGCTCCAAATGTTCCATTCAACAGTCTAGATAAGAATATGGGTTGAAATATAGATGCCATATAAATAAAGCCTCAGTGAGGAATTGTTTGGCTGATTTTATGTCACTGCAGTCAAATAGATTCAGATTAGAGGACACGATTTGTTTGTTGAGCAAGAACACTACCCTAGCGCAAATAGCCTCATCAAACAAAGTAAATCTAAACCAGACAAAGAGACAATGGTTGGAGACCAAATGCTCTTATCTCAAAAAGGCAAGAGAGCAGTGGTCATGTCCCTTTCTCTCTTACTGCTCAATTGGACAATGGCTTTCAGGCACAGGAATAAAGGGCAATTGTAGCAAGCTTTAAAGAAAGGGGGGATTGCACGGTAAATCAACAGTCCAAAGTGCCCTATACATAAACATAGAGCAAAATGGTGAGCTCTTTGACAAATAATCTGCATAACTGAAACAAAACATGATTGATATATAGTCAAATACAAAAACTATAAAGACAGAAAGAAACACAAAAATACGTCATTATTGCCTTTATTGTAAATACTCTGTAATGAATCAAACCCAAAACCACATTTAAATTCTCTTAACCCCCCGGTTAGTGATGTTGATCGATTTTAAGACAACCATAAGTACCAGAAATACACATTATAAAGGTATATTATATACCTACAGTACCTCATATGAAAAATACTTACAGAGACATATATCCACCAGAAACAAGAGATAGAGCAGTAACTCCCGTAGTGTGGTTCGAACAAACAGTTCCCTGTTGTTTGAAGTGTTTTCAGTCAATGTTGTGCCCCACAAGCCTAAATCATTTAAAAAAAAAAAAAAGATATCATTTGGTCATTTAAATACTGAATTACTTGTAAAGTTCAGACTGCTTTTAATTAATTTTCAGACATAACATTGACTATGGGATGAAATATACTTGACAACATTCTATTTAAGTCGATATTTGATTAGCCATCATCATCACAGAAAAAACCCAAACTGAACCAGTGATTAAACAAAAAGACTTCAGTAAGATCTTTGTTTTTGTCAGGAAATTAGAGAGGTTTATTTTTTTACAGTCATTAAACAAATTATTCAAATGACTTAAAGAAATTCTGCTGGCTGCCTACCTTTGACAAAAAAGCAGCAGCCTTTTTGTTTCTTCGCCAGGCTTTTGTCCGTAGATGGGGACCCTTCTGGGAATGGGCTGGGGTTGTCCAGTCGGTACATGCTGTCCATAGAGTTCTGGAAAAGGGGCTGAGGGTTGTAGATTGTGTCTAGAGCTTGGGGCAGGGGTGGAGTGGTGCTGCAGAAGCCCTGGTTTACCCATGCCCCCATGCCCTTACTGTCCAACTCACACTCAACTTGTCCAGTCAGGTGGCTCTCAGCTCGGTTGTTCAGGCACTTCATGCTGTTGGATGCCTAAGTTTTTCTGTATAAACAGCTGGTTTAAGATCAGAGAGGAAAGTAAGGCAGATCAGTGAAGGCAGTGCTGGAGAGTTGATTATAAAGAGTTGATGACATCAGCTTTGCTGAGGGCGGAGTTTCTGGTCCTTTGGTGAAGCCTTTGTTGTTTTTAGAATGACACCCAATTATAGCACATTCAAATGTATAAAGTGATAGATGTAATAGTATTGACATACTTTTGATCTGTTTACATTTCACTTAATTATGAAGCGCTTTCAAACCAATAAGCATCCAAAAGTGTTATCGAATGTTTTGCCTGTATCAAAATGGTGATAGGGTTGTTTGAGAGTTGATTGTGTTTCTAGTTAGTAAGGATTTTCATTGTTGCATTTAAATAGACAATTAATTTACTAAAATGTAAGTTAATCACTCTACACCAAAAACATACTAAACAAGTGTACAACCCCACACCAACCTGAGAGTAAAGAGCTGAAATTTATTAAATACCTGCAAAATTTGAAGTAACGTTATACTTTAGTTTTGCTGCTTTGCTAAAGTGCTCATGATGGATAGGCCGGGTCTTTGTAATATAGCAATAAGTAAGGTCTTTTACCTGCTTTTTGTAACATAACAATGAGTAAGGTCTTTTTACCTGCTCTTTTGTAATGTTAACAGACAAAGAGTAAGGTATTTTACCTGTTTTTTGTAAAGTGTCTTGAGATAACACTTGTTATGAGTTGACGCTATACAAAATAAATTGAATTGAATTGAATTTAGTTGGGGACTACAATTCTACAAACCCACCTAAAGTAATGTGCCTGAATTGTATTCAACCTTGTTGGCTAAATAGTTCTGCAGTTAGAAGATGTCCACATGGTGAACATTGTTGGCTTATTTGATTTAATTTGCTCCTATTGAGCAAATCATATCATGGAGCCATTTTCTTTTTTCAATGATTCTCTATTGCTGCTTGTAACTGGATTAATGAAGAGTATAATTGCAGTACCCTAAATGGCCTCTGCCTCATTACTATAACACACTGTTGACATTGCCATCTATTGGTTTTGACATGCCAACTGTAAGATAGAACGTCTGTGTCTGTCATGATTTGGTCTCGTTTGGTTTTCTTTTTCAGAGTTTAGATTTTCTTGTTTACGTTTTTTTTTCTTCCCTAGTGTTACTCGTTTCCCTGTTCCCTGTTTCCTGTTTCCTAGTTTAGTCTTATGTTTAGTCTGTTTTATTTTTCATCACGTACCATGTCAGTGTTTGTGTTTCTACCTTGTCTGTACTGCAAAGCAAATGAGCACCTTGTAACACAATTGTACGATTTAAGTATTATTTTGGTCGATATTCATATTTTAAAAAGAAGATTAATTTACAGATTTGGCTATATATAATTTTTCTCTAGTTTTGTATGAATCATTGAAATGTATCTTTACTTTTATGTCTGTTTTATATTCGTAAATAGTGACATAGTAGCGAGCAGATTTAAAACAGATCGTTTTAAAAACAACATGTTAGAACATAAATGACATATGAATAGTGTTTTTGCAGCTGGACACAAATGATGTATTTTTGTATGTGTCCTGTGCCTAATGCAGATAGAGTTTTGGTGCAGCTATGGGTCTTCATGCTTCAGCGGCTCAAAACAGAGTGATTACATGCAGCCATTACCACACAATAGAGTTTGATTTTGCTCGCTTTCTGAAGCCGTGGCAGGATCTTGCAAACAGCCTCCTTTAATTTGTGATGCCTTGTGTCACCATTCAAACGTTTTCACATTTGGAACAAGCTCTTTCAGTGATGAAGGTTTACTATTTGCATGTGTAACAGTTGGTTTCCAACAATTGATAAGTGTCAATCATGTGGCCTCCTGCTTTATCTCTGCTGATGTTGAAGTATTGAATGTTTTAGTGCAAAGGGTACTGAGATTGTAGTAGTTCAGTTATTTTGTCATGGTTCTCCATAAATTTGTTTTATTTCAAATGCCTAGATTATTTTCCTTCATTAACATAAAAGTGCCTTATCTTGGCGCACAGGAGTTTAGAAGAAAAGGATGATTTATTGTGAGGGGTGCATAGCAGGGTAATGCTTTATGTCATGACCTGCCAATTGATGCTCTTGAAAACTTGACAAATCCAATATGGGGAATGTGCTATATATAATTTTTTCCCTAGTTGAAATAAAAATTAGGGCTTAAATGTTACTTTTTCAATTGAAGTTTTACTTAAATTTACTCTTGTTGTTAGATGTTATACTGGGCTGGATAAGCCATAAAGTTTATAACCAACTTATTTTGCATAAAATAATAAGCTATACGGTAGATCTAATTTGAAAGACATTTCATAGTTTCAATTTTCATATATTTTCATATTTTACCATCATAATTAACTGAACAATTTGTCTAATGAGGAATTGAAAGACTTTTTTTTGTATAAAATAGCTTTTATTTATGATGCAGAACTAAAATTAATCACAATAGAGGTATTTCAACTCTACAAATGTGTACTTAAACTCGGCAAAACAAGTTTAATTCATTATACAATGCAACTTAGACCACAAAAAATTTCTCAAAATGAACTGAACATTTCACATCATCAAACATCTGATAAAAAAAGATACTGACTGCCTATTTCTTAGGTCATTTGGGGTAATCCAATGACTGATAAAAGACATCAATTGCCTATGGTTTTGATACAATCTAGTGGTCTATAATGACACTATATTTCATTTATTGTTATACATTGAACAAAACAATGCTTTATATTGCTAACCCTGTATGAACATCACACAAAAATGGCAGACAACACAAAAAGGAAATAAAGCAATACTGTATTTACTCTCTATTCACAAAATGACTGATTATCCATCAAATGGAAGCTGTTTATGTGTGGACCATATGGCTCTTGAACTGATATAAGATCGAAGAGTGGATACATTCCTGTCCAGCTGGAGAGTCATACCTCATGAGACAGGGGTAGTTTTCAGGCTGATCACAGTCAAACTGCAGGTCCAGCCACTGCCTGTAAGGAGCATTATGCCTCTTTGGGTCTGTCAGGATCCGGTTGAGGGCCATGATGTAGCTGAGGGCCATCTGCAGAGTTTCGTACTTAGAGAGTTTTTTGTCCTGGCCCCACTGGGGGACCACTTTGCGTAAGCAATCAAAGGCTGTGTTCAAACCCTCCATCCTCTTTCTCTCCCTGGCATTGGCAGCCATCCGTCGCCTTGTGGTAGTCTCATATTTCTCTGGACTCTTGGAGTCTGGGTCTGAAGATTCTGATCCAGAGTCAGTGCAGCTTGGTCGACGAGACTTCATGATTTTGGGTTGAAGAATCAAACCAGTATAAGTCCTCTGATCAGAAAAAACTCAGTTGGCTTCCAATAAATGTATAAGAGTTTCCAGTTGTGGTTTTAGGGCTCCTCAGCCTCTTGAACTTCCTGTGGGCTCCAAGCTGTGTGTCCTTGGTACAGATACTCCCAACAGTGGAGAGTGTAAGAAGTCCAAGATGTCAGTGATACAGTAGACTGAGAAGAAGTAGCTTTTATAAGATAGGACAGCTGAACAGGTGGCAGCAGGTGGAGCCCCCCCCCCCAAACCACAAACACACACTACATATCCTCAGTATTTCTAAGACAAGAACACACCCAGACAGACCCACGCCCACACTACCCACACCCACTCTCAGCCCACACACTCAGGCATATACACGCACACCACTCATAACACACACATACACACACGCGCACACACACGCACGCACACACGCGCTTACACACACGCACACACACACGCGCACACACACGCACACACACGCATACACACCCACACACACCCACCCCCCCCCCGCCCTTCCACACACACACACACACACCCACACACACACAGACCTTAATGAAATTCCAATTATCTTTGGCTGAGTTATCTGGTCGTGGTTTCAATTATGTGACATGTGAAACACGAAAGGTCTACCATCTGGTAGCCAAACTCACCACAGCTGACCCTGCAAACAAACTTTTAAAAGGCTAAGATTAACATGAAGTTAACATTTCCAGCAGAAATCTCAATCTCTAGAAAAAACTACTAAAGCTTTTAAGGGCTTACCTCTATATAACAGAATCTGGAGATAATATGGAATATCATTTTCACCAGTGGTTGGCAAAAAACAGAAAATAGATCTGAAATGTTGCTGAAAATTACAATAAAGGAAAAAAATGGTTTCTAATAGATATCATATATGTATAATATATATTAGGTATATCAAATGTATATTCTATACTGTAGTAAAAACAGGTTTGTAACTTCACTTACCTAACCCTTACTTACAGTTTTGTTTGAAAATGCTAGCAGAATGGTCACTTCATTTATTTGTGATGTTTCCCACGTTTTTTAAAGTTACATAAGCCACCAAGAAGTCACTTTCACTTCTTATTTAACTAATCTCATTGGCATTATAAATGTAATCTGAGATTAGCCTGAGTAGTGGAGGTGTGGTATGTAATTTGAGCGATTTGAAATGAAAATCGAGGGATTATAGTTCTCAAACAATAGGGGCCAGGATGGCTTATGTATTACTGCACCTTATAAAGGGTAGTTTTTGCACCAGTGAAATATGATATATTGCCCTATAAAATGTAATGTTATGTAATGTCTGATAAGCTATCCAGCTAAGGTTTTAATGAACCAATGTCTGTGGGATGCATTGAGGTTCCTTGTGTACCTTTGATCACGAGGAATAAATAATTGATCTGTGTAGTGGTCCGAGAGAATGGGGCAGACACTGCTTATCCTTCCATCTGTTAACATTCACATCTTTAATTCTATAAGTAAAAGTACTGATGTTGATGATGATGATCCAAAAGCAAGCACAAACATCACTGCTGTTCTTTTTAACTTACCTTACTTTAAAAAAGTACCTCTGTTGCACCTTGTCAAATTGTGTTAATTTTAGAAAAAATATGGATTGAATTTGATGAACCACTGAAGTACTAAAGAAATATTTTGACTCCAATTCATTAAGCTATCAACTGTTAAAATGCAGGTTCCAATTTTTACATTTGAAAATAATAAGCTTATAAAAACTTAATCAAATACCCAGCACTTAAAGGTAGTTCAAACTTAACCAGCTACAGAATTAATATAAAGTTCTAACAATACTGCATCAATGATATGGAAATTCTATAAACTTAAAAAAGAGATTTTACATTAAGAGTACTTTTGAAATGACACTTAGTTACACTTTAACTTTAGTAAAATGTGTGTGCAGTAAGCTGACTTGTAATGGAGCCCTTTATCACAATGGTATTACTTAATTAAAGGATCAAAATGTCTTCCACTTCAACTTCTTTATCTCCTGATGTCATCCTTTGTATTGACAAACTCAAAGCTTGGTTAAAGAGGCAGCCTATGAATCATTAATAACTGTCAGAGTCTAGAATAATGCCTCTCTGATATTGGGTCATGGACACAAGCTGAGGCTGTCTGGTCATCTTTGGATGGACTGGTTTGCTGTGCAATTAGGCATATAATCCCATCTACCAGTTGGTTCATTGATCACAGATTGATGTAGTTTGCCAGCTGCTGCTTGCCTTGTCTGATGGCCTTGTCTCAGCCGTCAATGTTGTCCACTCGTTTTTTTTACACCCCTAACATGATTGGCTAGTCTGATCACCAATGGCTGAGCCATGCCCTCATGCCCAAAGCCATATGTTACAACTAAATAGTGACCTGTCTGCTCAAAGAGAAACATATAACCTTGGAGAGATGGAGATTAGACCACAAAGCATATGTTTTGGAGAAAGTGTAACAATGCATTCACTTTATAAATCTCATAGGAATAATCTAATATGACAATGTAAATAACCTTGTACTTTATTGAATGAGCATACAAAAACACATCACGAGCATGCTAATACTTTTGGTCTCTAATGTGTGGACTTTGGTTGCTGTTTTGTAACAAACCTGGAGTATTTGTTCTTAAAACAAATATAATAATTATTGTTGTTGTACTTCTCTTAAAGAAAAAGAAGCAAAATAAGTTTGCTTCTTTTTCTACACAACTTCAACTTTCATTGAATTCAGATTACTTTTGAGAAGAAAGTCAGATAAACACCATGTTCTTGACCCACAGATATTTATGACTCCAGCACATACAGAACTGAGTAAACAAGTAGGCCTAGTGGCAGCTGGTCTAATGAGGCTTTGAGTATAATTAGGTCACGTAAGGTGAATGTCATTTCATGCCTAATTTAACTCTTTTCCTCTCTAATTTGACTGGTTAGCAATGCTTAATTGGTTTATGAGTTGTTCAATTTGTTTGGAATTTAGCATCAGTTAAGGCTAATATTGCTTTGATTCAAGTTGAGTTAAAATGAGCTCTAAACACTGACAGCAAAAACTTTGATTTTAACCAACATACTGTAAATGTAAGAGGTAGCAAATGATGCTACCAAACAACCAATTTGAATACATTCAACAGAGAATGTATGATCATATATATATTAAACATGTTTGTGTTTCAGCTCTAACCATGAAGGAAACTTAACTAACAGCATATTATTATTATGACCACCAAAAAAAAAGGTTTGTTGAACATTATTGGGTCATGATAGGCATTTGGCATGCACGCACATACAATAACATTATGCAAAAATGTGACAAACGTCTAGAAATAATGTAGTTAAATGAAGAAAAAATCTCATTTTGCTGGAGCCCTTTAAATAAAGTGATCTAAATAGCACATTCAAGTGTCTATTTAACACTTAACTACATCTCGACATGGACAATCACAACTACTTTGACTATTAACTTTGTAAGAAAGCTATTGCTACCAGTACATGTAGTCATGATTTGTTATAAAATAATTGATGCTTGTATCCCTGTAAAAAGGACTTACAGTTAATTTGATCACAAACATTCAGCATCAACATTACTATTTAACAAATAATGTAAAACGTGAATCATTCAAACCAAAGTCAAAGAACATACTTTAACTCCAATGATGGCTGATGAGCTAAGACTTTTCAGTCAGTCTTTTTCTGTACAACACAAATTCCTTAAAAGGTGGCATACAGAATGTGAGGATTTACATTAATCCCCCATGTTTGATTGAAAATAGACACAAACACAACATGTCGAAAGTTGAAACTGAGAAATGGCGTTTTTTTTAGGGAAGTTTTATGCCCAATGTGAATTTGATGCAGGCATCATGTTTCAAAATAGATGGGACAGTCAAGAATGTAGAATGTTTGGGGAATTATGAAGCCTTAAAAGACAAATAGACAAAAGACAAGGAGACCATGAAATCTTATATTAAGCAAGAACTATAAACATACCACTTTTAAAGTTACAGAAATTGGTCTCCTCAGTTCGCAAAAACACTTACAGAGTTCTGTTTAAGAAAAAGTGATGCAACAGAGTGGTAAGCATGACCCTGGCCCAATGGGATAGCTAGTATCAAATTGAAATTGGGCATTTACTTTTCCAAAAATAGTAAATATCTGTTTCAACATTTGATATATTGTCTGTGTGATATCTACAATCAAACCACTGGGTTTCAGTGTTTTGCAAACATTGTGTTTTGCAAAAACAGAAGATGATGATGTTCTGTTTTTAATTTAAATTTCACATAACATCCCAACTTTTTAGGAAATGGGTGTTGTATTTGAAAAACTCCTCATATAACTTTTGGATAGGAATGCTGGCAAACCCACTTCCAGTGTTGATAGTTATAACACATTAATACTTTGCCTCTCTATCCTGAATGTATCAATTTAAATTAATCTCAAAAATAACATGACAATCTGCTTGGATCGTCATTGTTCTTATACCTCCTACAGTTTAGACAACAGACAAAATATGCTGGGAATCCTCTAAAGGTCACCAATTTGAAGTGGTTGTTGAGCTCAAAGCTCCTCACTCTCTAGATTAGCCTCGGGAGGGGAGCTGGAGAACAGGACAGGGCTGGTCTCTGATGTCGAGAAGGCTGACTTGATGTCAATTCCCAGCCCTGTCAAAGCAGCATAGCGGCTGCCTGTGCGTGGAGACTTCTTAATAGGTGCGGGGATGCTCTGATGCCACTGTGCTAAAGATGCAGCAGGTAGCCAGTGTTATCATTTGAGTAAAACAATTATGCAAATGTCATAATACAGCTGATAGTTAAAGAGCTACACAGCACATTTACCATAGATATCAAGCCTGCAGGTGCAGGACACAATTCCAGCCTCGTTTTTTGCAGACACTGTGTACCAGCCAGCATCGTCTTTTGTTGTTGGCTGTATAAGGAGACATACATATCCTGTTGCATCCTGGGTCATACTGAAATAGAAAATAATAAATAATTCAGATAAATAAATAAAAACTTTTTTGAAACTTTTAAGCTGTGGTACATACCACTGAAATATCAAGGAGAGGCTGAAAACTCCTATCTACCTGATTCTTTCCTTAGTTTTAGAGATGCTGTCATTGTCTTTCTTCCAGAAGATAACTGGAGGGGGCATACCCACCACCCGACACTCAAGCCTTACTGGGGTTCCATCTGGAATACCCATGTTCTGCAATTTCTCCACAAATTTGGGAGGATGCTTCATCTCTTTCTCTAAAGTGGATATGACATTAATGGCCCAAACAACACATGGAACTTCATTACTTTTCATCATCTAACAGCAAAGTCATTGATGGTATTCAGTCCTTACCTACTACTTTAAGTTCTAGAGTAAAAGAGCTCTGCCCTGCTCTGTTGCTTGCAATGCAGGTGTATGTCCCGGTGTCATTCTGGGTCAGAGGATCAATGACAAGAGAATGGATGCCATTCTCCCGCACCAACATCTTGTGGTAAAGGTCTGGATAGATTGGTCTCCCATTGACCAACCACATCAGTTCTGGGGTGGGTAGGCCATTCACCTAAAATAATAAAAAAAAAGATGAAATACTATACTCATTTTCTGGTTGTATCAATGCTAAAACATATTGCATACTGACCTTACAGTCTAGTCTACACAGACCTCCCTCGGGGGCTAGCATGTCACCAGGGGCCTGGAGGAAATGAGGCTGAAAAAAGCGCTCCTGGGTTTGCTCACCTTCAACTTCCTGTATACGGACCCGTACCCTTAAATACATGAGGTCAGCAGAGCATGTTATGGGGCAACACTGCACTCACAATCATCAATGTTGGTCAATGTAATGGTGCATGATCCCATCGTACCATTGTTGTCAAGGCGAGCTACCAATAACTGTCTGTGTCCTCAAGATACAGAGGGATTCTTTTTATACATGGGATCACACTGCAAACTCGTCAACACATTGCTTGTCTGTTGCAGAACTTATCACTTTCATTTTAGCATTCTTGTTGAAATGTAAGAAAATGGCTAACAGAAAAAGAATGACTTAGAATATGATCTGTGACCCAGCTCGTATAAACGCAGCGATAGTTGCTGCAGTTCAGCTAGCCTCCTGTTACACATCGTTAAGGAGTGCTGTGTGAACTGACGGTGACCAACTAACCTCTGAGGGTGGATAGGTGTCAGTCGGTTTCTTAGAGGTCCTGTTTGGACAATCAAATGACCTGAGCAGCTGATTCGTCCCTGATGATCATTTAATGTCAAATAGCAAGTCAGGTTTGTAGCTGGAGAGAAGGTTTTAACAACATGAACAAGGAGGCTCAGTGTGAATCATTACCTGTGGATTAGCTGCCATGACAGTGTAGTTGCCGTCATCATCATTGGTAGTGGACTCTATATGTAAAGAACAGGTCCCATCCCCCTCTCTCATTTTTTTGTAATGAACATTCTTCTTCAATATCTGTATGCCATCCTTAAACCAGTAAACCTGATAAGAGACAAAGATGTGAAAGGTAAATCAGCTGGATTTAGAAAGGTCCTGCTGTTATTTGGTTGAGTTTTTACCTCTTACCTTTGGAACAGGGATTCCCAACACTTTACATGAGAAAGTGACAGGAACACCTTCCATGGCTCTAAAGTTCTTAAGTTTCTTGTCAAATATGGGTGCAATGCATTTTCCGGTAGGGACATCATCATGCTTCACTTCATCATCTGACTCTTGCACAGGTGTTCGTTCCAAACGAAACTCAATCTCACTCATAAGTCTCTGCTCAAAACTTGAGACTCGGTACTCCTGGAAAAGGAAAACACAATAAAGTAATAAGAAAAGTTAATGTTATTGCATTCTGCTTTTTTGTCTACAGCACATTTCCCTGACATCATCTGATAAAATAAAATACATACAGTATTGCTCTTGGATCCCTTAACTTTAAGATAAGCAACAAATGTTCTTAGAAAGAGCTGCAGTAACTAGGAGTGGGACAGCATGCATCTTAACACCATATAGCAACAGAGGCATTAAAGTAACAATCTGTAAATCAATTATCAAAACAAAAAGATACAGATTGTGACTTTAAACTTCTTAATGATGAAGAGCATGCAGATGCTTCTGTCTGACAGTGTCACACGTGGTTGTCAAAACACTTTCTTCAACCAACCAAATGATATTAAGCTGAAGGTAAACCAGAGAACAGACGAAGATGAGCTGTTGAGGGAAACTGTTTTAAACATTTAAACAGCATATTTAGTTCATATTAGGAAGCTCTCCACACCTTTTAAATGTATTGAACATTGGTAAAGACAAAACTAAAAGGAATCTGTTAAAGAGTGTGATATGTAAGGACAATGTGCAGGTTTCTGAGCTAAGCCTTTTCTTTTAGTAAAGGGTTGCACACTGACACTCGCCTTCTGGGGAAACTCTAAAATGCAAACATTACAGCGATGAATACAGTCTTACACAATAGTGGAGTTTTTGGATGCCATTAGCCTAATAAAATGTAACCTGTCAGTTTTCATTCTTTGGAGGATTAGTATATAAACATATATAAGTTAACAGATGCTCATGTTCAAGGTACTTATTCTTCTTAGTATTTAGATAAGTGTAAGTGAATATCCAAAGTTTCATAATCTCAGTCTCAAACATTTTAATAACCCATACAGCCTTGGGCAAAGCAAAACTTGGGACGGAAAGATCCTTGTACCTCATCAAAGTTAATGACAGTAGCAGGTATGTTTGGTCCAATGGGTCTGCTCCCTGTTTTCCCCTCATTACTCAGCTTCTATGAGAGGATAATGATGGATGATGACATTGACCACATACTGTACATACCAAACATATACTGATGGATAAACACACATGCTACAGTTATAATCAAGCATATGTTGTTGTTACAATCACGAACAAGCAATGATAGATAACCGTGCATACAGGAATGATGTCTGATTTTCATGGAATTGAAAGTTGTGCTTTAAAATAATTTTCAGTGTCTCTTTGATTTTGTATTTTAAAATATCTGTTGGACACTAAAAAGAGATACCTAAGTTTAAATGTAAAAAGTAAGGTAAATGTAGTAATTCTGAATTAATGGCTGAAATCAATGATATATTGTAAGAATATATGAGTGAGCTCAATCTTGGGAAAACAATAATGCAACAGTTTTAACTAGTTTGTTGTATTAATTGTCCATTGCATCCATTCAGGTAAGGCAGTCATAAAAAGAGAAATACATCAGGGCTGAAGACCATATAGGCTATGTTGAAGAGAAACCCAAGTTGCACAATACAAATTATCATATCAAAATTAGATCCCTATATTCCTCAGGTTATTGACCTAATTTGCATTACCTGATTTAATGGTGAAAAATATTTATTTACACTCTATACAGGTACTTAATTAAGAAAAGGAAACTATTGGACATGGTGCCTGTAAGATAACTGATGTTTAAAATTGGCATAGTGATATATCACACTTGTCAGTGTTTAGTTGTACTTTGGTTGAGATGGACATTAAAGTTTAAAGACACACAGCAGAAATTGTCCCCATGCTCTTGCTTTACCCACATCCTAAAGGTACATTTAGTAAACTAAGTTTTTAGTTAACACCAAGACAACCCAGTGTTAGACTACACCAAAATAACTGTTCAAACTAAGTTAACACTATAGAAGACAATCATGCATCTGATTTAGGAACATGCATGATGAGGGCCCAAAGTATAACAGAAAAGTTAATATTTGAAATGATTTGTGCTGTTGCCACTATGACACAAAAACAAGATATCTAAATTGTAAGAGCAAAAATAATAACTTATTTTGTATATGTTTGCAGTCTGAATAATGCCTTAGTACCTGCTGTTGTGATACATTTAGAGTATCATCTTTAATACTTTGAAAGCTTTGAAGCTTTTTCTCAATATTTTGTAGGATCATTTCTTTGCTTTCACGCATGTCTTCAGTTGACGGGAGACGCATCTTGGGAACCTTTTTTCGAAACCTGAAAAGAGAAAGGAGAAAACTGTTTTCAAAAAATGCCCTAAGTTGTCACTCTCTAAAGCATTTTAGTTAATCTGATAGGACGTACCCTAAAGGAGCTCCCTTTGGCAAGCCCATTGAGTTGGTGGGCTGACTTGGGGTTAGGGACGGAAGGACCGAGCTCAAGAACGCTACAGGGTTTTGAGTTGGGCTGGGAGATGAGCTGCTTGAGGTGGGAGAGGATGCCTTGGGCGGCAGCTGGGCTGGTATAGTGAACAACGTTGACCCCGGCGGAGGTGAGGACATTACGGAGGCCGGGCTGGTGGGAGACCTGAGCACTCTCATGGAGGAGATTCCTGGTGGTGGGGAGAATGTTGGCAGAGTAGGGGAGCTGGCAGCAGAGGAGTTAAGCTCTGCAGCTAGTTCTTGGAGCAGTGGGACTGGTGATTCATTTGGGGAAGGACTCCTGACTGGTGAGAAAGTCTGAGCAGCTATGAACTCTTTAGGCCTGGCATAGCTGAATGTGTGGGAGGTGGCAGTTAAGTTAGTGAGGGAGGTGTGTGTGCTTCTCAGTAAGGGCGTAGGAGATGTTATTTGCAGTAAGCTTGATCTTGAATCTGTAGAGACTGTACTAAGCTTTGGAGCAGGTGGAGAGAAACATTGGGGTGTTGTTGAGGTAATTGAAAGAGCTGCAGAGGAGAGGTTGAGGATGGAGGCATGGATGGTATTCATCTGGTTTCTGATGAGAGGAACTGCATTCAGCTGTGGGGCAGGTAGAGGGGCGTTTACTAGTGAGGAAGACTTTGACTGAGAAATCAAAGGTGGGAAGCCAAAGGGAGAAGGTAGAGATGTACTGCAAAGGTCTGAAATTGCGTTTTTTTGTTCAGGGCCAGAACTCAGCGATAGAGCAGAAGTACTGTTGGCCAGTTGAGATGCACAGTTGGGCATCTGCTTTAGAGGTGTAGCAGCATTCAGATAGGGCTGAAAAGGTTGCAGATGGGGCTCATGTTGTATTCCATGTGACCACAGCAGACTTTCACTGGAGTTCTGAACATCAGATTGGATCTGGGCCTGGACTGGAGGTTGGCTTTTGGGCTGAATATGAGTTTGGGTCGGTTTGGGCTCAGTATCTTGCTGCTGCTCCATAAGGACTTGGTTGTGCAGAAGCTGGAGCTGGGCTTGGTCTCTGTTGATTAAGCAAACATGTAAATACATACAATGACATTAGACTTAAAATGACATTTTAAATTGTGAAAATGAAAGGGGCTCAGTCTACTGTTGTAATTGTTTCCAGTTGAATGAGCCAGCAAGAAAAATACTATGGCCTTTTATGGGCTTCCAACAAGTTAGTAACAAAACACTGTTCCGGCTCTGGGCACTTTCAGCTCACATTCTTAAAATGTCCCTTCCATTTATCATACATTACTGCAGATTTAGACCAGGCTAAATAGTGCAGGAGAATTTTTTCGTATAAATGTTTGTTTTTCAAGCCTATGATTCAAAATACAAGTACAAACATGGAGGATTTCATTTACAACATGAATATTGAAGAATTAAGAAGACTTTAGAAGATTTAGATTAAATAACAGATAACCATGAATGCAAATAAATAAACTTACAGGTAGAAAATGCCATCCTTTGTTCTAGAAAGTTTGAAGGTCCACATTTTAAGTCTGCATGCATTTATGGATTGCAACTGACTACAGTGGCTACTGGAGCCAGCCCAGGAAGAACCTCCCACCTCCCAGCCCACAGCTTTGAGCAGTACAAACTAAGGACATGATTTTTGGAACTCTACAAAACTCTACAAAATATTGCTTTACAACACTGAAGACCTTTCTGACAGATTTTAGTTAAGAATTTCAGCAGAGCTGTGAAATTTCTATAACTCATACACTTTTTTTTCTCTACTCACAGTTTGGGTTTAGTCAGCAGTGGTGGTGGTTCTTTACTGAATGACATCGTAGGGGTCTCTTCATCAGACTCACTGGACACATGACTTTGTTCATCCTCAGGCAGTTTGAAGTGCACATGCCGACCAACTCTGGAGCTAGAGCGTGAGTCTTTCTGATTTGTCAGATTGCCTGTCTTTAAGCAAGAGTTTGGAGGGGGATCAGGGAGTGGCACCACATTAGGGCCAGTCTTCTGATGGTTTGTTGTCTCCTTCATTTTGATGCTTGTATCAGGTGATGTTACTGAAGATCGGAAACCATCATGCTCAGCTGAAGTACCAACTACACATGGAGAAACTAAAAGTTTCTGGTTTGAGAGAACCTGCTCCTGGAAATACATAGCATCAAAATGATTGGTGCTGGTGTTGCATGAGTTTAGGAAGGAGCTGCTGCTTAGACCAGTCGGTTCCACACTGGGTATACTGGTGCAGAGAGTGTCTGGACACAACATGCTGGAACAGTTGCAGTCAAGACTGAAGGTTCTGTTGTTGATGGGCTCCAGGCATAGAGTGCTAGAATTGACAGGGTCTAGGATGATGTTCCTGGAGAGTGGCTTGATGCTGCTGGAATTGTTAATATCTGTTTGAAGGTTTGAAGTGGAAGCTCTAGGGGAAGGATCTTGGATTTGACTAGACTCCATTGTTAAACTGCTGAAAGGCCTTTCATGGTTGCTGTTGCTGCCACTAGCTGATAAGAATCAGAGAGATGAATATCAGTCATTTCAATACACTTTTATAACTATGTATGATAGATGTATTTTTCTGAGGAATGTTACCTGTGACTCTGAGTGTAGCAGTACTGCTAATGGTTCCATACTTGTTGCTTGCCGTACAAGTAAACATTCCTGAATCTTCAGGAACAACTTCAGAAATGACTAGAGTGCATATTTCGTCTAGAAGTAATGGTGTAAAAAAAAAGATGCTCAGATAATGAAGGTGGCTTACTTTCAGTTAGAAAAAGTTCTACCCCTAATAATGAATGTACATTTATAACTGAACTAGACAAAATGTAGATGCAGTGACACCACTTCTTTGTTGAGGTTTGTTAAAGTCACTGGGGCTCAAAGTCTATCTGCAGCAAAAGCAGATTGAAGTGATCTACCCTAGGTGTTTCACCACAGGATGAGAGATTACCTTATATGGTCCTGAGCCAGGAAAAAGCAGCACAGGCTCATACTTGTACACAGAAGAGCATAAGCCTTAGCCAAGGACTACAACACTAAGCAGAGTAATATGAGCATGTACAGACAGGCAGCTGCTGGGGTTCAGTCAACACAAAATATATACCTGAATCAAGTGGAGATCTGGGCTCTGAAACAAAAGACAAATCAAAAATGATTAGCAGACGCTATACTTTGATACTTTACTTTTTATTACTGACCATAGATCACTCATCAGTTGTTGCAAGAGGACTTTCATTTGTTTATTGCAATTTCTTTTAATTTCCTTTAAGAATCAGATTTTTTAATATTAAGGCGGCTTAATGACACATAAGCAAACATTTCAAGAGGAAAGTCCAAAACTTCAATAATCGGTTAAATAAGATGATAGCCTAAACAATATTTTAAACTTTAAGATATATTGGTTGAAACACATCCTTAATCTTAAAATCTAAAAAAATATATATCATTATAGCATTTGGAGTTTATTTAACAAACCCTTTGGATAAGATTTGATATTAATGCACTTTTTAAAGATAATGTCCTTAGATGTTCACAATGGGCACCGAAAGTGATTTATAACACAAAACCACATGCACAGTCAATACTTTAAAAAAAACTAATACTTAGGAAGATTATATTTTTTCTTGTGTGCACCAAAGTTCTTATGAAACAATGAACTGTGAAATTGAAAAAGTAGTTTGAATTTAATCAAAGTTATAACCTCTGCACTTCAAAATACCGCTTTATAAAAATAAAGAAGGCATGAAAATGTGGTTGCAGGAGGAACTTTGAAGATTTAACTCCTTCAAGGTCATCTGCATTTTCAATAGTTAAGATAATGGGGTTTACTTTTTTGCAGCATCCGAAAATCATGAGAGTCCTTTAGGATTTTTCCATCTCTGTACCAGTCCACTTGAGGTGATGGTAGCCCTTTCACACGGCACTCTAGCACCACCAGCTGGCCTTCTGATGCAAGGAGATCCTTCAGGATCTAGTTTGAAAAGACATTCTATATGTCACATTAATAGACAAAACCGTTGGTAGCACTGTACATCCTTTTTGAGAATTACTTTACCTTTGTGAATGCAGGGGCAGCCATCATGGGTTGCCCATTCATCCTTTTAATGTAGTTGTTGTTGGAGGTTTGACCCTAAAGATACAAATCCACAGATAATATGTTGATTAACATACAAAAAACAACACTATTTTTCTTGAAAACTGTGTGAAATGTCTCTTCTACCTCAGGTTGGGGCGTTTGTGTTAGAGTTGACAAAACAGGGAGCACAGACAAATCCAATGAGTTCGAAGACAATAATGAAGCTTTCGCTGTAGTTGTCAGCTGTTGAGCGGATGTGAATATGTCTGAGACGGATGTTGCCACATCCTGGGCTCCAGAAAGTTCTTTATCCCCAGATGACATGATAGGAAATACTTGCACAGGTAACACAGTTGTCTCCTCCAAAGTAAGGTGTGCTCTGGATGCCAAAGGTGTTTTTAAGACCTCTGGAGCTTGAATTATGGTTGCTGTTGTCTGGACTGGCAGAAGAGGTTCTGTGATTATTTGGTTAATTGTTGATGAGAAGTGCTCTTCAGATAGTCTCTCAGTGGCTGATGCTGGATGGGATGATGTAGAGTTTTCATCTTCAATGGAAACAGTTTGGCTTGATGATGGAAGCAAGGATTTCCTCTGTAACCTTTGGGAAATTATAGGAAAAAGAAAGTACTGGTCATGTTCAGAGTTGAGAGTTCCATTAGTTCCATTAATTCCAACATTAAGGAGTTCCATTAAGGCCCACATCATTTATTTTTTAAATGGCTTTTGACTAAAACATACTGGGCTTCGTGTCCAAAGTGCTGTTCCCCCTCAGAATCAGAAGAAGAGGCACCTGTTGGTTTAAAGCACACATACTCAATCATTCAGCATTTAACTTACAGGGTTCTATATTAGATTTTAAACATGAAAAAGCAACAAACACCTATGTGGAGAACAGGAATAAGAGGATCCTACACTCCAGGTACTTGGAAGACTAGAAAAAGTCCATTTACCATTTACAATTGCACAGGCATTCATACTCATTTGAACAGTCAGTTAGTCCAAACAGACTTTACTGGATATTATAGGCAGCTATACATAGCAGAAAAGCTCCATGGCTTTAAGTAACTCAGAGGATCTAAGAAATACTTCAAAGCAAAAAACAGCAAGCATTGGGTGTCTGTGTGCTCAATTCAGCCTTAACTGAAGTAAGTTAAGCAAGTAAGTAAGCACCCAATATGAACCCCTGCTGTTTCTGTTACTCCCCTCCATTGTCTCTCTTTCTGCCCTCTTATTGTAGACTACATAAAGTTATTGTGTGAGTAAGCAACTTGGATGAAGAGAGGCTAGTTACATTAGTCTGCCGGTTTATTCATCCCCTTGCTGCTGCATACAGGCTGATAAGCAAGAGGGAAGATAAACCAAAGATAAACCCACTTTTTAATCTCTAAACTTTAAAACTTAGATGAACTACTCTTCCAACTGGCTAGCAGCTTCAGGTTTAAGCATAATCTTGTGTGAATTCATTTTAAATGCATTTTATTAAGGTGGATTGGCCAATCCTATTTGCTTTTGTTTAAAATGGTGCTGAAGTGCACCTATTAGTGGTTCTAAATTCCTACATAGCAGCTTTATATATAATTGTAGATAAAAAAAGAAATACCTTCAACATAGATCTCAGCTGATGTAGAGTCAGTGCCATAGAAATTAGATGCGAAGCAAGAGTAGCGTCCAGTATCTTCCTCAAATGCCTCTGCAATGATCATAGAGTGCAGATTTCCATTGGTAATGATCTGAATGTCAGGGCTGTTCTCCAGCTCCTTGCCCTCACAAAACCACCTGTAAAAAACAGAGAAAGAAAACGGATTATTACAACATAGCACAGTGGCATTATTACCATTAGCTGTACAGGTGTGGGGTAATTCCTGTTTTGTTTGTGCATGTGTGTGCACAATGTCTCAGACACGGAAATGCACACATGTATTCATGTGGCAGACTATTAAGACTAGTGAACATTTTACTGTAAACAATTAAAAATGTAACATTACAATTTTGATGTTTTCTCTGCATTTTTTTTAATAGCCTAGGTTATAGCGTATTTTGGGTGCATCAAATAGATATTAGAAGCACTTCATATGAACTATTTGGGACAGTAATGCAGTCAGTAATACAGTCATTTGTTTCTATAACTGAGTAGCTAATAGATATCTTTCAACTAGTTCCCTATAGAAATGCAATAATTAGAGGACTTTATAATTATAGAACAATCATTGTAAGTTTTAGTGCAACTTAGCATTTCCCCCTAACTATACACAGCCAACAAATCAGCAGCAGCATGCTAAATGCTGGTAAAATATCATGGATTCATGGGTTCATGGATTACTTCACTCATAAGCCACAAAAAACAAAGTTAATTAATTATTAATTAGCTGTTTATTTTCAAACGATTACTGGCCATTTTCCACTGGACAATTAAGATGCCTTTTTGCTCAAATCATACTAACAATTTGGTGATAAATCAAAGTAAAATCAGCTTAAAGCTTTTAAATGTTTTGTTATGGCCACAACATCACTATTGAAAAGCCATGAGTCTGTCAAACTCCAACAGAATGATGAACACCTTTCAAAAACATTCCCTCCTTTAATTGGATTCTTGGGTCAATATCTGTGTATCTCATTCATATGGTTTACACCTATTCAAACCTTTAAACATATCTGTCCTGAAGCTCATGAATTTCAGCAAATTGGGCTGTTAATTTTGTTTTCATTTGTCACCTTTCTGTAACTCAAGGAGTTGTATTTTGCCATCCACTCCCTACGGTTCTCTTGTAAGTTTCCTGCTATGTTCTGACACTTTTTCAATGTGGCTGGTACCATGTTGTATCTTTGCTTTTGGAACGGTGCCATTTAGTGGAGTTATGTAGGCCAAGCAGAAAATGTTTTGATGAGCAAACCTGATCCCTTTCCCTGTAAAACAAGAAGCAACAGCAGCATGCCAGCCCAGATTAAAGGCTTTTTCAATGAACAGTTGATGTGATCAAGATGAGCAACACAGTTATTTGCCCCAGTTAATTATGGTTTTTCCCATCTTAATTAATGAGCTTGAACCAAGCTACACCAAGTCAGCATCCTCAAACCAATGATCAGAAGTGTAATTTTATCATGTTTTATTTAACAATGTTGAATTCTTAAGATAATAAAAAGTCAAAACTTTGCAAATATTTTTTTAACTGGCATCTGCCTTTCCTAGCTTTTTTATATTCAATGTAAAATATAATAATAGCATTTTATCTATAGCTGTCATGACCAGCAACATATGCAGCAGCCTTCACATAATCTTTTTAAAGTAAATTTTAGATAGATAGAAACTATGCTATACCATGAGAAACCCAAGACTAAAAAGCAGTTTACACACAACAGTATTCTTCAGGTAAAAGTTAGTATTTAAAAAAAAGTTGTGAAGCTTCTGTGAAAACCTGCACTAAAGATTTAGAACCAATTCTTAGATACAACATAAGCAAAAAATAGCCTGGAATGTATTATTAGTGTTCTGCCTGAGGCAAGCTCTGTCATTTCTTATTGGTAGGGGTCTAAATTAAAAGCATGAGTCGTAGAGGAATCGTCTGGTCTGTGAGTCATAGACACTGCTGGCTGCACCTGTCAGGCCTGTTTACCCTCTGGGAACTGTTACTGGCTGATCCTGATACATATACACAGAATGCTAAATAAAGACTAAGAATACACACAAAGCTAAATTGTACCTCCAGAGACAGAACACTACTGCAAATTGATGGGACATGAATCTTACAACACTACTTTGGCACATTTTTGCAATATTCACAAACTAGGGTGGAGAAATAACACTTAGGCTAATGAAAAGAGCGTTATGTGAGGACATGTGAGCCAAGCTTGAAAACACAATAGACACACACACACACACACACACACACACACACACACACACACACACACACACACACACACACACACACACACACACACACACACACACACACACACACACACACACACACACACACACACTTCTATCTTGCAGCACATTGAATGTAGACTCCTTGTGAATCCCATGGAGGCAGTCCTTCTGTTTCAAATTAGACCAAAGACATTAGCTTGGATGTGTTATTCATACTTATCCTTATTAGATATCTTTACCCAAGATCACATTATTATAAGTGGACTTTGGAATCTTCAAAGTTACAACACTCTCTTTTCTTAGAGCGATTTGTGATGAGGAAATATTACTCCAGAGTAAGGACAAAAAATAAGAATAAATCAAAACTTGTTATCCTTACCGGACTTCAGGCACAGGTAATCCTTTAACAATACAGTCTAACTGGACCTTGCTGCCTTCTGGAACCTCCCTGCTTTTCAGTTTCTGGATGAAATGAGGAGGCTCACACACAGGCTCTGCTGGATATGGACTTTCTGTCAAGGCAAGGCTGTCAGTCTCCACCTCTTGGGAAAAAGTGTCACACTTCTCCATAATCCTGCAGTCTTTGAGTTCTCTTTGCCCAATTTCATATTCCAACTGGACCTTTGGGTTATGGCTTACAACATGACTGGTTTTCTCTTTCTTTACCTCAATGGGCATGACAGTGCGCTCCCTGTCATCATGGCTGAGGGGGAAAACTGTCTCCTCATTTGGGCTCTTACTCTGGTTTTTACTTCTGTGTGTTTTGCATGACCTTGGTCGCATCCGTTTGGAGCTGTTGGCCTTAAAGAGGGAGGAGAGCTCCTCTATGAAGTCTGCTGCCTTATTGAGGAACTCCTTCTTGGACTGCGTCTCAAGACCGTAAGGAGCATTCCTCACTGGCCTGTTAAAGTCCTCGAAGCCTTCTCTTGAGTCTCTGCTGCTCCTTTCCTGCCTTGTGGATGCTCTGAGCACCTTTCTGTCAGGTGTGAAGTTTTCCTGTGTTGGCGGCAGATCTCTATATTCCGGGATTGGATTGGTGACGGGTACAGTGGCGGGAGCAGCAGATGAAGCAAGAGAATGGCTAACCAATGGAACAGATGGGATTTCACAGTTAGAATCCAAGGCCGAGGAGATGTTGGATGGGGTTAATGGTGTGATAGAGGCTTTGAAATCGACCCTCTCCTCTTGAGGCCCGTGTCTGATGGCCTGGCAGGCAAGGTTCACACTTTGATCCAGCTCCTCCTGGCTGAGGAAGGCTGAGAGGTCTGGTAATTGGGGATCATTGTGGCCCACAGGATCCTCCACCTTACCTTTGAGTGAGCCATAGATCTGAAGGCATGAGGAGGACGCATCCGAGTGCTTCATATCATTGTGTTGCTGGGCTCTATCCTCTGCCAGATAGCTCTCTCTTAAGTGAGACAGTGATGGTGGTTCTTGCATGCTGGGGAAACAACCACAAAGAATTCAGTACAAGTAAACCCTAAATATCCACGTGTTTAAAAATACAACTTCAATTCACTGTAAAGAATTGACTGACTTTATTTACATTTCAAACTGAAGAAATCTAAACAATATAGGAAATCATTCTAATAGATATGTATAGCAAGCAGTGGAACTGATACAATTAGCAAATTACAGTAATTGATTTGTTAATCAACAAAAACACAATTTTCAACAATTTCGTTTTATCATTGTCAATGTCATTTATAAACCAAAAATATTTGTTGTTTAGATTCCTTTTAAATGTCAAGACAAGAAGCAAGATGTCCGTTTTTCACTGTTTTCTTTTCAGATGAGATATATGAATTCATAGACAAAATAGCCTTTGGCCCTTAACTAATACTAAAGTAAAGTACATCAATACAGAATGGATTGAAACAGAGAATATTTGGTAACCATTGCTCTTTATTTCAGAGTCATTTGAATCTTTTTAGTCTCAAATGGGTATCGGGTTCTGACTGGAGCAAGATTTGGTTGGATAGGCCTACTGATATTCCATCCCAGTCAAACTCATATGTTAATACATGAAGTCTTTGCACACAGTTGGACACTCATTATGAGTAAGTTATTGTATCCAGACATGAGATAGGGTACACATATGCCACTGACACTCAAACCTTCCAACAGACTCCAAGCTGCAGCTGTTGTGTACATTAATCCTTTTCAAACAGGCTACGGGCCCACCAAGTCATATCTAATAATAGCGTGGGGTCACTTTACATGAAAAATCTACAAAAAAAAAAAGCTCCCTTCATCCTGTGCCCTTGTTATTGTAAACATCTGATGAGAACAAGCATTAATGTTATTAAGCAAGATTAGACATATACAAACGAGCAGACCCCAAACTAATATGCTTTACAGATTAAAAAAATTGATAATTAAATAACATAAAAGAAGTAGCTAGACTCAAGCCTGTCAAATGCTTAATGTGTCCTGATGAGATTCACAGAAGTTGAGACTTGTGTCAAACACAATCTGAGACACTATAAAGCATTAAAATAGGACGTGATATATATTACCTTCGAATGAAACATAGGTAGCCCCTTGAAAGGACGGGGAATGCACCTGTGCTTGAAGAGGACGATTCTTCAATCTTGTGGTTGCTGCCACCTGGAGAAATCTTGGTCGCAGGTAGCAGCTCAGGACAGTTTTGTCGAGTTAACCTTGGAGTGAACGAGAAATGTGGAGCCAAGCTAGGCTAACCTGTCACCAGCACAAGTAACAACACTGGTCAGCGCACTGGTTTCAGGTTATTTTGGGAAGGCCAGGCCCATGTCACCGAGTGGCGTCCCTGCTTATTGGCTGGGGTGTAAAGGAATTCCTCATCCAGTGGTTCATCAAAACGTCCATCCTACAGTCGGAATCCCCTTATTTTACTCTTACACACATTTTAACTGCACTAATGTTTGATGCACTGTAGACAATCCAAGTGGTGAAATATCTGATAGGCCAAGCGGTATTAGTGTTAGAAAAAAATACTTTAAAATCAGATGTCTTTAATATCTGTCAACCAGTAGAGACAAGAAATTAATGATTTATTTTATATAAGATAATGTATAAATTATAGTCATAAAGTAGTATTTGGCGCTTGAACTGGAGATATCGTCCTTGAAGGGTGTCTGCACTGAGAGCAGCAAACTACTGTATGTTCCCCCCTGGAGTGCAGACATGCTGATGGGGGGTCTTGGATGATGATGTAGGCTATCTGCAGGATGATGAATCTATGAAGACTGTGCAGACATCGCTGATGGAGAAGTTCGCACATAACAATGATATGAATGAACTGGAGGCAGAGGGAAGTCATATTTAAAAAGACAGCATTAATATGATGGGCTAACAATGATTGTGTAACAGTGCTATTGGATAGGTGTAAAAAGCTGATAACAGCTGATGACTACAGGAAAATATGTGTGCATTGGGGGAGTAAATGCAAAATAGTATGGTAAATGGGTTTACCTACTTCTTATCTTCTATATTTTTATGGCGTACCTGCCTAGTGTATGAAGACTATTTCAAATTAAAATAAATAATCGATCTGCTGTAAGGTATTATACCTGCATCATTTAAAAATGAGTAAGGTCTTTTATCTGCTCTTTTGTAACATAATATAACAATGAGTAAGTCCAGGTGGCCTGGTTTTTACAATTTCCATCCAAAGAAGTTTTTCACTAAGTGTAATGGATGCCAAATAAAAGGAATAAGCCAGAACATTCCATCTTTTACTTTTTTGTTCCTGATAATGGAGCAGGATGGGCAAAATTTAGAAATGAGCTTACCGAAGAGTAAAAACAAGAGGAACACTGCTGGAGTATAGAAAACATGGCTATTCAACAGATGATGTATCACTTTTAAAAGATAACACTCTGACCTGTATTTGCTCTTTTCTTTCCAAAAATAATTTTTAAAAATGGTATAAGGACTTGAACGTCAGTCTCTTAAGTGTTTGTGTGTTCAAGCCAATCCAAACAGACTTTTTGTCCACATTTTCTCTGCTGAGTTTCTGCTAAAATAAGGGTCATTATAGGCTGATGCACTGTGACATGATATTGTCATATTACTGGTGCAGACTGCAGCCCTATCTGTTAGCTGTGAGATAACCTAGTTGAATGAATGGTTTAAAAGCTAATTTGATTTAATTTCATAATAATATTGCAGTTATTAATTTCCAATAGCAATACATACATTACCTAATGGCAATGTACCCTTTCAACAGCTGTGGTTAAAAAAATAAATACAGCATTAAAAATTAGCAAGATAAATGCTTATTATATTTGCTTTTAAGTGTTTCAATTCCACTTGAAGAACAAACTGTTCCAACCAAATCTCAGAATGTTGAAGTTTAAATACAATGAAAATGGCTCAGTGAGATAAATACATAAAAGAAAACATGTATTACAAATCCTCTTTGGAAAACAGGAAACCTGGTGAAGTAAAGGCATTATGAAGAACAAAATCGTACTTGATGTCAGCGGTTTACAGCACTTAAACAAGTCTTGAAAGAAATTAGACTAAGTGTTGTCACTGCATTACAGACATAACGTGTGAATCTGAGGCATTTGTATTTTTCACATTGACAGTAGTATAAGCAGCAATAAAAAGCCTTGATTTGCCCAGTCAATAAAAAGAAAATCAATTTGAAAGGTTAGGGGTGGTTTACTGATAGTAACCTATCCTTCACAAGGATCTCTGATCTGAATAGAGACTGAAGGCACTCTTCAGATTAGACAGTGAAGAAAACAATCTCAGCAGCATCCCACAAATACTGAAGCTGGATTTATGAGGATTCTTTTTAGTGCAGTAAATGAAGCTGCTCAAAACTGTCATCATAATCTCTTGTTGTTCACAGAGTATTATTACCCTTCAAGTGATGTTAAACTGATACATTGTCAATATTACAACTATTGCATTGAGCCACCTTGCATGTGATAAATATGTAGGAGGCACAGTAGTAGATCTTCAACAACTCTATTGAAGGTGGTTCTGCTATCAGGAGTCATCACTGGTCCGTTTCAGAGACTGGTCACCTCTGGAAAAGAAAACCCACAGCAAATCAGTGACTTTCAGTTAAGTGTGTACTGAAAAGTGTTATTTAGGTTTTTTTGTTCTGTGATTTGTAACTAGCCAAGACAGAAGCCCAAAAAAACTGACCGGGGAAATCCATTCATTGACAGCTCCATCTGCAGCTTCTTGTCATAAGCAGCATAGTCAGACAGCAGAGACTCCTCAGTTGGTGGGTTGATTTGGGGAATAAACCCAGAGAAGAGAGCTGGGGCTAACTTTGCCCACTCTGAAAGAGGATACCAACATTTCCAATAAGACTCTTGTTAGAAAGCACCAGAGGCCACAAAGTAGGCCGTCAAACAATCAAAAAGTGAACATACCTAAGGTTTGTGAAAGCAATCTATAGTTTACAACCTGTAATATCTTGCATGACAGAGTAACAACAAACCCTTCTGAGACCAACCTTCAAGGGTCCATTTATCAGGACCTGAAGTAAGCCACAGTACTTAACAAATTAGCATGACAATATAAAAGGTACAGCTTGTTTAAACTCTTTTTTAATAATGTTTCACAAAGCATTGATCCAACAAACAATTTGGCCATCCTGGCAGTCTGCTCAACCAGCCACTCTTCTGAAATACTGGCTTATTTATATTATTTTATATTAGATAGGCTTATAATTTATATTAGTTTTGCATTGCCAAATTTTGTGCAACTGCGACTTTGGAAACTTCTTCAAGGATTGCATTTTTTATTCAGAAAAGGTGTGTTGCTTGTCATGGCAAGGACATAGTTCCTTCAACTCCAGTCACCACTGCCAAAAGCTCCAGAGATCATTTTCACACTTGTTGCAGTTTACAGCAGCAATATCTGTTGTATCAAGGCCTGCATCAGACCTATTCTGAATCGTGGTGTTACACAGGTTTTTGTGGATTTTTTCAAGCATGCTTGCATAATTCAATGCAATATTGCTGCTTAGATGCTTGGGTTGCGCACCGGATGATCGCCAGTTCAAGTCCCGGTGCGGACCAAGTCTGGAAATTGGTCTGGTAGCTGGAGGGTTCCACTCACAGCCCCCTCTCTATGCTCTCTATTAGTGCATGTCCATAGGATCCCGTTTGTGCATGTGTGTGTATTTCAGCCTCTGTGTGTGTTCATGTTCAACAACAGAGTGTAAAATTGAATTTCCCCTTGTGGGACTAATAAAGTATATTGTCATATTATTATTTAATATAGATACTCTCTTTATAATTTAATGCATTTACATGAAAATAAGACATCTCAATTGACTAAGCTTAAAGCAGAGGTTTGCATAGAATATAGCTCACCTGGTTGTAGGCTGTAGAGGCCTTTAACCACGCTGGCCATTGTAGATGGCTGTACTTGAAAAGGCATCGAATGAGCTTTGATGAGAAGAGCTAAACAAGAAAAAATTAGTTAAACCACATGTTTCAGAAAGCATTTACATTAGAAAGGAATCAATTCTTGAGTTGGTGCATATCCCTTATCAACCAAAATTCCAGGATTGGTAACAGCAGCAAATTGGGCCAACACAATAATCCATCCTTGAAATGGGAAAAGTAAGATTTTATTCAAAAGAATAGGTAATTCAAATGAAGCAATACACTCACACATCAGTGTGTTCACATGCTTTTCTGCAACTTGATCAGCAAACAACTTCATCAGATCCTTTCTTAGGTCGCTGTTGAGCTTTGATTCGATGTAGAACTTGTTCTGAAAAGATTCAAATTAAAAGAAAATGATAAGGCTGTACAAAACTGTATATATTCATTCAGTCACCACAACTGTTTATCTATTCATTCACTGAACAACAATGTAATGTCTTCTGTATCATAGCTGCTTTTTCACTTTCACACTCTCAATCTCGCACAACCAGATTTTCTTTTAAGTACATAACTAGGAATATATTTGTATATATTTAACCACATTTTGTTACGCTGCTGTACAGGATTGCTGCTATCAAAGTGTTGTGTCTATCTATCTATCTATCTATCTATCTATCTATCTATCTATCTATCAGTCTGTCTGTCTCTCTCTATCAAAGTTATTTACAAGCAACAATAAAGAATGGGCTTGGTGGCATAGAGCATTCTAGGATATTCAGTTAATATTCTATGTTGCTTTAACAACAGATATTTTTGGGGGAAAAAAAGACAAATGAAAAATATGCCTACCAAGTACATGAATACAGGAACTATACATTGTAGAGAAGCTGTGTATTGGGTTAGAGCATCGTTAAAGTTCTCGATGACATTCCCTGGTGGGCTAGCCTAGAAAACAATAGTTGGTCTCAGTCAATTTGACATTTTCTAATTTCTTTATTATATATTAATAACATATGCAGATTACAGGTGTATATATGTGTACTTACTTCTAGATGGATTGACACCTGTTGCAGATGGCTTGTTATTTTCATTATCAAATCATTGTAGAGCAGCTCTGAGTGCTGCTGACAAACACACCTGTAGACGTAACTAGGAAAACAAGGCAGAGGAGAAACTCCTTGACTAATAAACAACAGTGATGCATATGTCATCTAAAGGGGTCTCCTCGAGGCTAAAGAAGTCACACAAGGGAAAAACCTGGCCAAGCTCAGCTATGCGGTCTGTAAACACCCAACTCTTCATCTGTCTTACCTATATATCTGAGCATAAGAAACAGAGATGTGGTCTGTTGGATTGTAAAGCAACAGACGATCAATTGCCTTTTCGAGGTTTGGCCAGTGGTTTTTCCGGTAGTCTTCTACAGCCATTGCATTCAGAACTGGGCGGAGAGAGGAGAGCCGGTGAGGGTCACAATGACGCATAAAAATACAATCAATGTTTCGGGGCCAACATTCCTACAGTCGATCTGCATGTGTAGGTGTAATGTTGTGGGAGGACGAATATGACTACAAGAAACCAGGCCTTGTTGTCACTTTGCCTGCTTTACGTGAACTTACGGAATTTGGAAGGAGAGTCGATAGTACGTTTTCCATCGACAGTAGAAGGCGGAGCCATGTTAGCAGTCTCTCTGACTTTACTGCTTTGACAGTCTCTATCCGAGTCTGTAAACTTTGTCAGTCCTTTACTGTCAGACAAAGTCCCTCGCTTACACCCCGGGGTTTCACCTGGCACCGACAGACTGCCGGGCGCTTGGGCATCCGTTGAATCCGTCCCCTGGCTTCGTGTAGTGCGGGTTCTGCCGCTGATGTTTGCACAATAGTTGTGGTTTTGGTCGTCTTTAAAATCTAAAATGTCATCTTCTAGGGCATCCATTATCATAATTCGTATTTTATGACGCCTAGCGAAACTAGATAAGTACAAGAACAAAAATAAAAATTAAGATAGACGACTTACAGCCGTAATATTTACAGTCCAAGCTTGGAGTATCTGTAGTGGAGTACGTTTCAGTTTGCGTCTGCTGTTGAGTGAAATTTTACGACATGTCGTAACAGGGCTGCTGCCCCCCGTCATATTTTTAATCATTAAGACTGGAAAAATAGAATCGCTTTCAATGCTCACAGTATCCACAAAGCCTCAGTTTTAAACCTATTCAGTTTAAGCTTATGTTTCCTTTTGTTCCTGTTTGTGTTTAATTCATCCATGAATGATTGCTGAACAAAGAAAGCTTGGGGGGGGGGGATAAAACTGAACCTCTAAAGGGTGGAGATGAAGACTTCGGAACGAACTTCTCTCATTCTTTCAGAAATAGGAACGCTGTGTAACAGTGTGTTACACTTAGCTAGACAAGAGTCCACTTGCAGAACCTTTTGGCAGACTAATTCAAATCACACCACAAGGAGAAAACTGCCTGTCACTGGCATTTCTGTTTTGAAAGCATCTTATTATTTTAATCTGATATAAACTGCTTACTTATTGCAATTCCATTCAAGTAGGCAATAAACCCCTTCACAATCAGCTACCGTTTTCAAGAGTAGGGTCTGTTTTAGCTTCTAGCATGGGCGAAGAGTAGACAATACACTTAAGTGATTGGCTTCAAGTTAAACTAAACATGATCAGTTTTATAAACACTCCTCGCCTGGAAAACCTGAATAAAGAGAACTATGTCCCTTTTGCAGATAGTGTTAAATTGGATTTGTGCAGATGATGTCTGGTAAAAACAGGCATCAAAGTCAGTACACTATTATTCTCCTGACATAGTTTGCCTTAGTACTTCTTAGACTTCATGTACAAGAACTAGAGTACTTTTACTGTGTACTTTTTGAGTAATCCACTGTCAAAATTGTTACTACATTTGACACTATTTATTCCAATTGTCTGTTAATCTTGCTGGCTTTGGAGTCCGGAGCATGTAAATGCTCCATCAGAATACGTTAAATTTAGGGGCAGCTGACTTGAGTCATTAACTGCGGTATAGGCTACTCACAATTAGGCAAGGGCAATCCAATCATACCAGCAGTAGGACATCTTACCCTGCCTATTATCTGTCACTGCCTAATTCTGAACTCCCAGTTCAGGGGCTGCATTCTTCGGAGGGCCCATGAAAATGTTTGTCAGATACAGGTTTAATACTCCGGGATTTCTCGATAATGGAGGCTGTCCATGTTGTGTACCTGTGCTTGTGCTCTTGCATGAACTGTACCGTGCCGAAGCAAACCTCTTCCAAGCGGGCCAGTGACAAGGAAGTGTATACAGTGCTTGAGCACGGATCGGAGCACTCACAGTAGTCAAACAAACAGAACGGGGTAAAGTGTGCTTATAGGCACATAGGCTACAGATTGCCTAGTGTGAGTGCGCCCTCAGGAGCAAAAGTGTAGAGCTGGGGACAACTGTTGATGCAAGTGCTAAATCCTCTGTAGGCTAGATTATCTCATTTCAATGCAACAAGAGCGGTCTACTAAGGATATCATGGCTGAGTGCTTTGTAGACTGTGGGTAGCCTATGTCTCAGTTCCCTTAATTGCATCCAAGTGTCCTCCACTTGCCTCCTCCACTTGCATCTTAGTCCCTCCCAAAAGAGATTCATGGAGTGACACGAGGAAACAAAACAGAGGAGAGAGGAATGAGGCAATATGAATTAAGAGACAGTAGACGTCTTTTCCTCTGTAGCATCAGGTGAATCGACGTCTGTTTGTGATGATGACATCAGCTGATCCTCGCTCAGCTGTCAGTCAGCTTTAACAGCTGTTTATGTCCGCACAAATACACACTGTATTATTTCTAATAAAATACACACAGTAACGATGTTTAGTCTGTGTACCTGAAAACAAACACCTGCACATGAAGAACAACCTGCAGTCTGCTAAAACAAACTGATATTCTGAGAGTAAACTCTGTATTTTATAAACACTAAGGATGTCTCAGTTTTATTGACAATTTTTTATTTGGATCAAATTTTCCACAAAACAGGATGCATATGTTGCTCACCCGACCTGGCCTAGGGGTGCCAGTGTGTCTTTACCTTGCAGTGGTCTATCTGTTTGTAAATACAAAGAGGAAACGAAGTTAGACTTGCGTTCAGCTCGGCTGCAGGATTTATTCTTGGTTTCCTTTACATATTAAACATACATCTTCTCTGTAACTAATATTACATTTACATTGCCCACTGAGTTTGATGGGAGAGGATGACAGATAAAATTATTTCATGATGCACTGCTGGAGCAGGAAACATGAAATAATTAAATAAATAGTGGAATAAATAGATGTGTTTTTACATAGAATGAATGAACATTTAAAATAATTATTTAAACATTTATTTAATTATTTATGTATTTCATAAATTATTTATTTATTTATTTATATATTACAAATTTTAGATAATTAATGACACATTTAAATAATTATTTAATTATTTAATAACACATGAATTTAATTAATTAAATAATTACACATTTATTTATATATTTGTTGATTTATTTCCAATATTAAATAATTGATGACACATTTAATGATTTAATTAATTATATATTTATATATTTCATTTAGGCACTTTTAGTCCTCCATACTTGCCTCTCTAATGCTCCTCACGAGCGCCATGCGCCCTCTAGTGACCTGATTGAGTATGTCAATAACATTGTAACAAGCTCAGTGCACTGAAATTTGGCTTTAAATAGCTATTTTAGACACATTCAGCTTAAAAAATATAGTGGGGTCTCTTTTTTTTAACTCAATTAACTTTTTCTTTTAGCAATTAACTGTATTTTCACTATATAATTACTTTTCCACTGTCCCAATGACTTTTAACATGTACGTATGCATTTTTTCAAATCTTGTAATCCATTTTTACCTTTTAATAACCTTTGTTTTTAGCGTAAGACAAAACATATTTCAGATTAATTATGTAGGCCTACACGTTTTTACACATAACATTTTCAAACCCTACGATCATTAGGCTAATGATCATGATTAATGTAAAACGCGTTAGTTACTGACAGACGACTCACACTCTGTCAGATGTCATTCTCAAAATTAAAAAGGGCAAATCGTGAGTGATAATAATTAAAGAGTCTTTTATGATCCTTTGGTTAGACTATAACACTTAAAATTAACGGACTTTTTGTTTGATGGTGAATCGGAAATCAAATCAAATATAACTCGGGAGTGGTCGGCCTCCATTTTATTGTTTTTAAAAAACATTGTTGTTAATCCTCATGTCAAACACTTTTTTAATCCCAGCTCGTCACAGACCGACTCTTTACAAACTGACGGATGTTTACAGTCTTTTCTCCATTATTAAATCCAGCTGATGTTGATAAGTTTCACTGAAGTCTGATCCTCTGCAGCGTCTAATCAATGAGTGATATTCGAGACGGGGGCGGGTCTGTTCAAAATGTTCTAAAAGCTAAGGAAAGGTGGGTCAATGCTTCCTTTATAACCTCCTTTAGCATAGGATACACTGGACCATCCTTTACCAAAGGAGATAAGATATACCGCCCCACAATTCCTTCAGTCAGTCATCGTTAGTTTTCTTGAACGGTCGTATGCGCAAGTCGCTTTAAATGTTGCGGCCGCAAGGAATTGTGGGGGTCATTTCACTCAGTTAGGAACCTTCCTAAGCAAAAAAAGACAATTCGAATGCACCTCTTGTTCATAGCTCCTCAGTTATTTCCTCGATCCTCGCTCATGAGAGTGCGGACTTTTCAGTAGACTGAACCCTCGTGGTCATTCAGTGGCCATTTTTGGGGTCCAACTCAGTAGACTGAACATTTCAGTATGGATACTAACCTCCAGGTTTTGTGCAGTATGGTTTGGATGCATCCTTCCAGGAAATGGGTTTTATTTCAACACCCACAATGCTGTGCGAAATTAAATGTAAAACATCACTTCACGTGCGCCTCTAAATCAAAACAAATGAGGATGAAAAAACAAAATCAAGGATGGATGCAGCTGGTTTGGGTAACGTGCCTTTCAAATGTTAAGTTATTAAATTGTTTACATGCAATGTGAAGTTTTGTATTATTTACTGAGCCATCGTGCAGATCACATCTGAGTTGGAGTGTCAATAACATGAGGCGGGCACTTCCACACTGAATGAATCAGACAAAGTAGGAACAAATATCTGCCCACTGTGCGCGCCTACTGGACAGTAGGTACTAACAGTATACAGCACAGATAGTAGGGACTGTCTACTGACAGATTGTGTAGGCACTTTGCCTTTGAAGGGTGCATACCATTGGTAACTTGCAGTGGGCAAACACTACCAGGTAGGTTACTAGATGGCACACTACTCGAGCAGCACCATCACTTTTAACAAAGTACTGTGACCAAATTGCTGGACTGTGTTTAATTAAAACCCTAAAACCTAACGCCATTTTCAAAAATGATTACTAAGTTTTGCCTTCCGTGGCAAATCTGGACTGGCTCATAGACTAAGAAGATGGAGGAAGTCAATTAACATTCTGACCCAGAAATGGATGTGCTCGTGAACAAGGTGGAAGTCAGGAAGAGAATATTGTTTGTTTACTGCAGCAGGAGGGTCTCAAAGAAAAGTAAAATGAGAGAATGACACCGCCTTGCTGCCCAATTCACATTCATCATTGTACGCACGAGTGTATCTACATTTACGGGACCCATACTGATTTCTTCATAAATATCAGAGTGCTAATATCAGTCCACAGTCTCCCTTATGTCTAGGATATTATTAATCAGAAGTTTAATAAATGAACGACAACTTTTAATTCTTGGCCATGTTATCCTGACAAACTCTGTGTGCACCAATTACAAGTAAATATAGGCCTAATGGGCGGCTGTGGCTCAGTTGGTAGAGTCGTCACCTCAACAGGAAGGTCGAGGGTTCAATCCCCAGCTGGGCAACATGTCCGATGTGTCCTTGGGCAAGCCACCCAACTCCCAATCCCTCTGCTTTGGTGGCAGTGTATGAATGGGATTAGTTACCTCTGACCACCATCAGTGTGTGAATGGGTGGGTGTGACCTGCAGTGTAAAAGCGCTCTGAGTAGTCGGA